TGCAGAAAGTTACAGAAGCTTTGCTGTTGAATGACAAGCTCAACAAGGCTGCAGCCTCACCTTTTTTTGCTCTATCCAAAGCATTCTTTTGGCAATGCATCATCAATTTAAATAGCATCTCCCACATTCCTTGAGCAAAACACTTCTGTATATGACTTAAAAACTTGACATTTTGCTTTCTTGAGAAAGTTTTACAAAACAATTCTTCAAACTTTTCCCTCACAGGAGCTACAATCTGTTTTATCTCCACTGGTTTGTAGCCTCCAAGAAGGTCGGAACTGTCACTCTGTTGACTCATGTTCACAACTTTCAGTGTGGCTGCACATTGTGCTGAAAGATATTGAACTGTTGAAGTTTTTCCAGTTCCTGTTTCTCCAACAAGTAAAACAGTCTCATTATTTCTAATACAAGCTGCAACTTTCTCCAGCAACACTAAGGAATGTCTAGTGTGTGCATATCTTGGGAGAGTTTCATGACTTGACCTTATTGGTTTACTCTCCTTGATATTTCTTTTAAGAGTGACCCTCCCAACAGTCAGTGACAAAGGTGAGGTGTGAACTTTTGGTTTGTAGCTTCTGGAGAAGAACTCAATCTTCTCTTTTGTTAAACCCAACTTTGCACCCACCGCCATGTCCAACACATTTCTATCTTCCGTTTTTGGCAGAGGTGCACTAAAGCAGTCTTGAGCTTCAAGAAAAACATCTGTGGAATCAATCAATGATGGTGTACCCCACGCCATCAATGCTATCCTACTACACCATTTCATAAAATCTCTAGTAGAACTTAGACGTTTGTCATGCGGAAGAGAAAAGCTGCTGGTATCATGATTAGAAACAAGCTTCGGATCGGCTGATAGGAGGCAATAGATGTCAACTAGTTTGGACGCCACTGTTTCAAGGTCAGGATACTTGTTCTTCAAAACCTGAAAAAGGATATCACAGGGCATAAAGACCTCAACAGTCATGCAAAAGATAATTTAAACCTATGATCTAAAAGTTGTGCAGAGCACTGAAACCAGCTAGAGACACAATGACCCAGAAATAATCATTCAAAATTAAGTTATTCTTATTACTACTGAACTTGATGGCTGGTGGTAAATAACATGCAATATCCCAAATACTTTAAATCACAACTAACATCTCAGTAGCAACTATCAAAAATAACAATATGGTGTACAATTTATGTAGGATGAGCTGTCTAATAGAGAGAAGAGGTGGCATGAGTTAATGTTAGGTGGGTGGGGGAGTTTTGTTTTCAGAAGAAAATAAAAAGACTTTTTTAAAATTTTTACGTGAAATTAAGTCATGACTAAGCCATTTGAGGCTGTTTAAATGGACACAGCACTCACATCTGTAAGTTCGTGCTTGGATAGTGGTTCAATTTGTACTCTTGTCCAGAGTTTGTCCAGGACAGCTGAACTTGCACTTGTTACCTGATAACTTATTCCACCAGGACTCGTGTATGATCTGAGAACAAACACAGTAATTAAGTTTTGTGTCATTTTTTCATAGTGCTAAACAACAGTCAGGACTGGCCTCAGCTGGACTGTTGATTTTGACAATAAAAGTACATAGTATAGTGTATGTATACTGTACAGAACATAACAAATTTCAATATAGAGTGGTTTTCGTTTGAGTGTCGTAAAACCAAAACCAAAGTAATTACTCTGGCCAATCACATAGGACACAGACAATACATTGAACCAATCAAAACTCGAAGTAATTACATGTGGCTGACGCAAAGCGCGGGAAAATGCATGCGAGCGCGTCACAATTGGCTTTGGTTTTACTTCTGATTGGATGAAAAGGTGGCGCGAATCTTTTAAGCCAATCGCATCGTGTAGAAAGTGCAAAACCAATT